GACCCCACCGAACTTCTACGGACACTGGCCTGAACCTTCTGTGTAGCCTAATCAAAACCAGACATTTTCCCTGTCAAGTGTGAAATTACCTACTCATACCAATGTTTAGGCTACTGAGCAAACAAAGCCTGCTTCAAAGAGCGGCATTAGGCATTTGAAGTGGCTCTTCAACAGTAGAGGTTTCACTGCAGATTGCTCACATTTTAAAAGAGCAGTTTCTACATATGGCGATCATAGATACCAGAAAGACATGCACACCACGCCACTCAGGCTTTCCAGTGAGCTTCTACAGGAGCTGCATGGGCGGATGTTTGGGCTGGCTGCCAGGGCATGGTGCCAGTGGGGTCGTATCGCTTCCTTTGCACCTCATGCCAGCAATGCCCTCTGGGTGAATCACCACCGCGGTCTCAGCTCCTGCGCCCTGCTGGCTGCAGAGCCCCACGGCGCAGGCAGCCCCGAGGCACGGGGTCCACGGGCTGCCCCTGTGAGGCATCTGGCCACAGCTCCGTGCTGCCATTTTTCCATTGGCAGCCAATTTTTCCAGTTTTGCCAGTTTGCTTATTTGCCCTTCAAAGCACTCAGTTTGAGGGAAATGAGGACAGCAGTAACGCTCAGATGCAAGGGGAACAGAGCAGATCTGAAATGCAGGACCTCTCAGATGTACCAATCTTTCTCTTAGGGCTTTTCTGTGTTTCTTAAGTTAAGCAAACTTCATGCTTATTCTAGCTGGTGACATATTTGACAACGAAAAACATACCATCTCCTGCGACTGCTGAGGCTGCCCGGGCTGCGGAGCACGGTCTGCCGTCTGTGTCAGCAGCGACGCGTAAAAGTGCGCTCCCTCTTCTGCTCGCGACCGACGTCGAGTGGGTGACGGAAAGCTCCCAGCTCAGCGTGCAGCTACGGGGCGGCAGGTCTGCGAGTCCCGCTCTGCGCCTGGCCCAGGAGATTGCCGCGGCCGCAGGGCCATGCTCTGGCAGGGGAAACCGCCAAGCACATGCACTTCCCATTCGCCCTTAATCACCCGAACTGATATTGCGCTTTCAAAAATTGGCCAAGAGCCAAGCTTCCGCACCCACACACACCAAAACACTGGAAATTCAAACGCTGGAGATTAACTTTGTGCCTTTTGAGCTGCAGCGTTGCCAAAAGAAATTAAGGGGGGGCGAACAGAGAGAAGAAAGGAGGCAGGAGGCTCATCCCGCTCCTTTCTACGGAAGACGCCCATTGAAAGAGTTGGAAGAATGAGGCTGGCTTACAGTGGGCGCCACACCGCCCAGCGGGCCCGTTGCAAAAATTATGAGTGCCGAAGCGGCTTTTGAGAAGCGTCAACAAATGAGGAAGAAAATGAGCCCAAACCGTGAGGCGCTCAGTGTCTTCTCTTCTGCTGGGCTTAGTTTTGGTTTGGTTTTCAGTCAGGAGTAAACCCCCCTGGGCGGCAGCCCTGCAATACGGGCACATCTCTGTGGCACCGCCACCGCTCTCCCTGCCGTGCACCAGGCACCGTATTTAGGGGTAACCCAGACAGATTCATAATCGCTGGCTGCAGCCCCTCAGTGCTGCCACGTGCGTGTGGGACACGCAAGCTACTGCGTTCACGCCTGGCTTTCTGCACGGTAAGAGTAAAAGGATGATAAGAACAACTCCAATATTACTGCTACCTGGACTCCACCTCCACTGAGTGCAATGTTTGCATACATATGGTGTACGGATAGCTACAGCTCCAGGGCAGGCAGCAGTGGAGCAGCCAGTGAGTAGAGCAGCCCTCACCTCTTTACTGAAGCTGCAGGATCCTTCCCATTTTAACCTTGTTTTCTACTGGGTAACTGGCAAATCTTGAGCACAGGGACTGACGTTTTCTGCCCTTGAGCTGCATATACAGTGGAACTAGTTTTTTTTTCGTTTGCTCAAACCCCATGTAATTGATTTCCAAGAAACAAAAAAAGTTGGTAAATCTTCTCTGGTTGGGATATTTTCTTCTTTTTATTTTTCTTTATATACTTCTTTTCAGATCCTTGGAGCTAATTTTTATTACACATGACCATCTTTCACCCTGGCATGAGGTGAGTAGCGTGAGTAATTCAGAAAGCAAATGCATGGTGCACACAAGCTGCTATTGGCTCGTGGAGAGCAGATTCCTGTTTGCCCTGGTTGCTCAACTCCTGATCTCATGAAGCCCTGACCCTTCGCTGTCTCTGCACTACAAGGGATGTCACAGGAAGTCTCATCTGCATGGTTTAAAATGAAGCTTGTTTAGGTCTTTTTTTTTTTTTTTTTTTTGGTGGTCAAGGCCGGGAGTTTAACAAGTGGTTACTTTAGTGTCCAGGGTTGCAGGGTCTGCAAGCTGACAGTGTTTTCAGGTCAAAGCAGAGTTTCTAAACTGGCCTGAAGGATGCAGGCTCTCTGCCCTAATACCGCCTGGATTACGGGCCCCTGTTTGCAGCTGGTGGCATGTGTTGGCCGCCCTGCTGGTCTGACCTTTTGGCAGGAGTGGCGCATTTGGTCAGGCTCAGAGGGACTGCTCAACCGCCGCTCCCCGGGGCACGGCTCCCATGAGCTGTTTGTTTAAGAGAGGAAATGTATGGTGCAGGGCTGGTCTTTCCTGCTCCCCTCCTCTCAGCCCGGCCCTGGAGCAGCAAAAGGCTCATGCTACAGAAGCTAAAGGTGAACTGCTCTCTCCTTGCAGCCTGCAGCCAGCATGTCAATCAAGTCCTTAACTGCTCTTTCTAGAAAGGACTGCGGAAACCACCCTGCCTCCTTGACATCACCCATGTGGTGCCTCTGCTCGGGCATGCTGGCCCGGGTGGCTGCGGCGGGCACAGCAAAGTCACTGGGAGGAAAGCGGGGGATTGCCCCGAGCCTGTCCAGAAGCATGCCCGGAGGGGCCAACGGCCCTGCCCCGGGGCCAGCCCTGCGCGCCCAGCTCCCTGCCACCTCCACGCTATCGCCCTTCCAAGCTTGGCCTCCCCGCGGGGAAAACCTGCTCGTTTACATCTGCAACTCAGAGCTCAGTCATCAGTTGCCGCTTACAGCGACTTTATCTCCAGGAAGATCTTGCCGAGGAAGGGTTCTAGGGCAGGGAAATAAATGGAAGAATGCTTTTATTTACTCTGCAAGCTAAAAATACATCGCTGCTAAGCTGGTCACAATAGGAATCATGCCTTCACTTCCCCCAAAAGTTCCTTGATATAGAAAAAGCCAGGTAACACCGATAGATTCAGTGACACACCTGAGCAACTCCCTCATGCCTTTTGTCGGGAGAGGTGCCTTGGCTTAGTGCCTCGGCCCCTTCCCTAGGCTGCACCTCCAGCCTGCGGGGGGCTGAAACCTGTCCCGAGCTCTCCGACTCCTCCACGAAAACACAGCAAACCTACTGATGCAATAATGATGAACAACAGAATAGTCCTCAGGGATTATACTCTGTACCCAGAGTATTTCAAATGATTAAAAAAAACCTCAATATATACACACTTACACCCACACACATAGATATACACACACTCTGCTGCATGTGACTATATTCAGCATCAGGGCTAGGATCTCCCTAGCCAGTTGTCTAGAGGCAGCACCATCAGGTTTCCCTCATCCTCATCCTGAATGAAATGCAAGTTAAGGACCTGGTATACTGCTAAGTGAGACTGCAGGAGACAAAACAGAGTATTAACACAACAGTTTGAGGGGTTTTAGGTTTGTTCTTGCACACCTTGCAAATCTGTATTTCCATTCCAGCTCCATGCAACATAGAGATATTCAGCTAAGTTTTGTTTTATGTCAGTGGGAGAGTTAAGGCTTTTTCTGCAAGTTGCGAAGAAGAGGGGAAAGAGCAAAAGTAAAAGACTATATATACATCTGTAGTCTGTATAAAGGACATTTTCCATGCACCCCATGCCTTAGCAGGAGACTGCAGCAGAGCTGGCAGAGATCTACAGGTGAGGTCTTTGTGTATCAGAGCATTTTTAAATAAACACCAATCAAGACTACTGTTTCCTATTGAAATAAGATTCAAAAGATCATGCAAAATCTAAGAACAGAAACTACTTTGAAGGTTAACGATTAAAGCTATTTTCATTTTGGGCTTTGTTTGGTTTTCCTTTTTTTTTTTTCCCCCTTCTCATGCCCTCATGCCTATTTACCTTTTTTTTTTTTTTTGCCTCCCCCATGCAAATACTAACTCACAATTTTGTTCTCATAATAAGGAATTTAAAAAGTAAAAAAAAAATGGAAAGGGCAAAACTCAAAACTATTTTATGAAGACTTTGACAACAAACTGGCTCAATTCAAACTTTGCAAATTGAAAGCCCTTTACAAAATCCCAACTATTTTTGTACTTTGCCTCCTCCTTTCTCTCCCCTAATATAGTAGCAGCGTGGAAGTCGAGGCTGGTAGTTGCGTGTGCACGTTCCCAGTTGCCCCAAAGCCTTGTTTGCAGCTCCCACAGCAGCATTAGCTTGCAGTCATATTTTCGTGTGTGTGTGATTTGGAATCTCAAGTAGTTTCACTTTTACTGCATGAATCATGTCCTCAGGGAACTGCAGAAATGCCCTTCCGTCATCAAGGCTTAGATCTCTGGTGTCAAAATGAGAAATAGATTTAATCGGGTGCCAATCCCTTGGCCATGAAGAGCACAAGTACCTCTGGAGATATAAGCAGATCGCGTGTAGCAATCAGGAACATCTATGCTTGGCACCTTGTCTGTCCCTTTGCTTTGTGACTGGGGGGGAGCTTGTAAAATTGGCTTCTTGCATGAAAAAGTCTGGGGTACTTTTCTAAGCTCTTTCAGTGTGCTTCCTGCCCAAGTTTCATTTTGGTCATTTTGGGCTGGAAGCCAAAAGAAAGCTCTCTGCCTCGGTTTCATGAGGAAATGCTACTTCATTGCCTTTTTGCCCCAGCTAGTGATGAAACAACCCGTGACTCCTCCTCTTGGCTTTATTAGCATGGGGAAACCTCCAGCATATAATCGTCTCCATGCTCCGTCTTGATAATCAGGAGCTCAGGAATTCTGACAGTGCCCTTTTTTCACCTTCTTGCTGTTTCTTTCCTCACCTCCAGCTGTCCCAGAGATAAGCATCATGGAAGCACCAAACTTGTTGGAGAATGGAAATATTCCACAAAAAAGGAAATTCTCCTGCAGTCAAGTGGCTTTTTATGCATCAGCATTTCTCTTGACTCTGATTTCTGTCCTGGCTCCTATAGTCTTCTGTGTGCTCCATCATAAGCAGGTAAGGACAAAACAAAATCCCTAACTCTAGAGTATACAGAACACATTAATCCTAATGATTATATTGCCATGTTTATACTGTCAGCTAACTGCAACATAGTCGTTCTTTCTCTTTTGGTGACAGCCAATGCTTTTGCTTTCCAAGGTTTCAGATGATGGCATTTCCACCAGTCCCTTGGGGAAATGTCTTCAGTATTTTGGTTTCATTTCCATAAAATAAGAAATTGTTTTTTATTTCATTCTCTTTTGTTTCCTCTCCTGTACCAATGATGCTGGCTGTCCCAACGCAGTATGAACGGGTGATGCTCTATAAGGACAGGCAGGGCTTAGGAGTCTGTCAGCAGGCATGAAGTGCCTTCTCGCTCTTGATTTTACCAAGTGTTAGCACAGTGTAGCCCAAATAGCGGTCACTGAGTTAAGTTGTCTTCTGCATTTCATTAGCTGATTTCAATGTTTGTTTTCTTTTTTTCCTTTCTATATCAGTATGTGCGCTAACTGCCAGAAACACAGCCGTGAGCCAAGAGGTTCACTGAGGCCCAGGGTTTTACTTTCTGGTTTCCAGACTGTGAATTAGTCTCCTGGAGGATCCAAGTGCTAGCTTGGGTTGCTGGTTTACGTATCCCACTGTGATGTAGCTCCCTGCAATTCCTATTCAAGGGAAGAAGGGGACATGGAGAAAGTCCCTCTCCGTTAAGAGACAGGATGGCTTGCTCTCATGGGCTGGCAGCTCTTTGTGGCATAATGACACTATGCACCCCTCTGAGGACTGAGCCTATAAGGCACTGTTTGTTTTTATGAAATATGAAGACTGCTAAATTTCCACCAGACGGGAGCCTGCTCTGCACCTTGCAGCACTATCACATCATTGTAAATAGCTAAAAAACTTTTTTTTTTTAATTGCTGTGCTACTTTTAGCCCCCCTCCCACACCCTTCTCCAGCTATACTGGAGCTGTGAAGTAGAAGCTCTGCCACCTGTGACCACAACTGCATTCCTCTGATGGCAGATCACATGGCAATGAGTGCACAGATGCACTTCACACGTATTCCACTCCTCCTCCTCTTTATTTTTTTTCCATATTGCAGAAAAACATGTTTTTTAGTAAGTGAAAGAACTGCCTTTAGTCCTTTAGGTTCATATTAGGAAAGATCAGGCCAGGCCAGGCAATGAAACCAGTCCCTTCAAGGGGACTGCCAACATCCCCAGCGCGCAGGGCAGCAGCTGCCTAAGAAGGAGACAAGACACCTTGTCACAGTGATTCAGACGTTCTAGAGCTTGCATCCCACTGGATGTGAGAAGCAATTGGGTTCCTATACCTGTAAGTTGATCTCAGATCCGATTTTCTGGGGCTCTGACCAGTCAGTAAACATAACTCCAAGCTTGCTGTGCTGGGAGCGCATTATCTCCATAAGCAAAGATTGAGCCTTGACTCACAGGAATATACCAAAATCTGTTGCCACTGACAATTTATCATCTGCACTTGCATGAAGCCTCCTCCTTCCCTGGGCTGGAAGGGTGCTAGAAAGCAGCGCTCAGTAGGGGGACCAGAAAGCACTGTGCCCGTCACCCTGGGCACCCAAAGTGCTAAGCATGGTTTAGCGGTTAAAGAGAAGCGGGCTAAAAAGTCTGAAGCCGTCATCCCAATTCTGCTGACAATATCAGGTGCAGCCGTGGGAGAAGCCCTTGAGCCCTCCACGTGCCCATCCTTCTCCCTCTCTGTGTAGTGGGTGCAGACGCCCAGAGCGACCCCAAAGAAGCAGCGGCTGTTGCCAGCACACATTAGCCGCTCTCTGCGCGGAAGTGCCACGGAGGAGCGGCACGTTTGAACGCTGCTGTCTGTGCTGGCCCAGACTGCTCTGGCTCACGCTGAACTGGTGGCTAACTGATACTGAACCATGATGCACAGCAGGAAAGGTTCATGGTTTCAATGTGGGTGAGTTAGCGCGACGCTTTAAAGCTCCCGGTGTGGAGGCACTGCCTGATGCTGATGGTTGTCTTTTTTATTTTGCAAAAATACCACCACAGCAGATTTTACAAAGGCTGATATATTTTAAACATTTAAAACTTTGCTGGAGCCCAATTGCTTTTTCATAACAAATCATCGCTCATATTTGAAAGCAGCAATTGTTTGTGATTAGGGATAAAAGCTTTATTGCCCTTCCTGGGAGAACGCTCTTGGTGCGCCTGTAATAACAGAGCTCCTCTGCTGAGCTCCCTGATCGACTGAGAAGTCACAGCAGAAAATAATGACCTAGCTCTGCTTCTTCCCACAGGCACCAGGGACGTGCTGGGCCCATGCGTCTTGTAAGTACTGAGATAACTAGAACTGCTTTTATGATTTTGTTGAACTCACACTATGGTAAAGATAACTAGCGCAGCAGTGTTGTCCTCATGCTTGGCTACATCTTGTCCATAGGTAGGCAGAAATTCTGAACACAGAAATATATAGCCCATATAGCACTGTGGCTAGGACAGAAAGATTTCCTCGGCTCTGGACCTAGGGCTGTTAGCCAGCGACTGTCCATCTCAGCCAAGTGCAACTCACTGAAAAGGCTCAGTACAATCAGCATCGCGAGGGGTCAGATTTATTGCCTCTCAGTGACTGTGGATCAAATTCTTTCAGAAAACAGGCATCCCTTCTCCCAAGTGTTAGTTCTCTAAGCCCAGCGTAAAGCAGTCCTAAGGTAACATCCAACGTGCCAGCTTAGCTCCTCAGAGTTTAATTAAATCAATGCAACACTTCCACGTGCGTAAAACTTCAGGTAATGGCTGTTGACTGTGCAAGACCCTAACAGGATGGGACCCCTCCACATCCGACAGACACAGTGGTGTTCAGTAACTCAAGGTGCCAGCCAGCACTGTGCTGTGAGCCTAGTATCCTCACATGGTATTTAATCCACCCTGCAGCAAGGCCCCCCTGCATTAGGTCCTGCAGAAACACCCACCCTCAAGGTATGCGCAGTCCAACATTGCCGTGTATTGTTGTTGCATCCTTACCCAGTTCTTTGTGCGCGCAGCGAGGGCTGTAACGACCTTGTTAGTTTTAATACTGATGGCATGTGTTCACTTGTGCAGGGAGGGGAAAAACCTGGGGAGATCCTACAGGCTCAGCTCTCATGAAGGGCTACAGCCACAGCAGCCAGTGAGCAGAGGGTTACTGTAGCCACCTTCATCATCCTCAGATCTGGCTCATGAGTTCTGCTGTTTTCTACTAAAGCCTAGCTCCGATCCAATCGTCAGCTTTGAAGGCTCCCTTTTCCCTGGGTGCTGTCAGCAGCTAACCTGCCCATGCAGCGAGCCCCTCCAAGCTGCCCATGGCCCTATGTGTCCAAGGCCTTTACTGGCACTTGAAGATTCAGACCCCTTCCTAGCACTTGTGAAGTTCAAAAAGATCCCAACTAATAATAATAATAATAAAAAAAAGCTAAAAAAAAAAACCCGTCAGGAAGGTAGTAGAGAGAGAGATGTGCCAATGGGAAACAGTAACAAAGCATGCTTATGTAGAGAATAAGGTTGCCCTTAAATATAGTTAATCATCATAACTTTTCTGTCTGTTTTCGTCAGTGAAAGTCTCTTCTACACCTACCTCTGAAGTTACCTGGACCTGGGAGTGGAACTTAACACACTGCGATGGATTTGTGGAGAAGGACCCTAACCACCTGACAATCATGGAGAGTGGCAACTACTTCATCTACGCTCAGGTCAACCGCAAAAAAGACATGAATGAGTCTTTTACAGTGGTACTGTACAAAGAGCCAGATATCCTTCTCAACAAGGTTGTGGGACTAAACGTGGGGGTTGACAAGGCTACAATAAGTTTTGGGAGACCGTTCTCCCTGCACAAGGGAGATAAGCTATGCTGTAAGATGAATTTTAAGCATGACTATATTCTGGCAGAGAATCAGACTTACTGGGGTCTGTATAAAATATAGCAGGATTCTGCTTTGAGTTAACTCCTCCCTTACTCCCTCCAGGAAACCTTAGGGCACTTATCATTGCGATTTTTCTTTGTGTGAAATTCAAGGTGATGGAATAAATATCATAGTCAGGCTGATATCCTGCAGTGACAGAGTAAGATGAAGACAAAGTGCACAGAAAACTTTGGTAATAATGGATGTCAACTAACTGTCATGAGGTATGAAAGAAAGATACTTCTGGGAGGAAAAAAACTTAAAAACTTTACAGGGGATGCCCCTAAGATCCTGGAAAAATGAGTTGTTATATTCAATCTGTCCTCTGCTGTGTAGCTGGTTGCATTTCAGAGCTGGGTGTGTGTCAGTACGTTGGGGTCCCTTCTAATGAAAGGTGCTATGTAAAGCTAAGGTATTCTATATCATTCCTGCACAGCCTGCCCATGAAGCAATGAGTCTAATGCAGAGGGACAAAACAGTTTAGAGACGGTTTGTGACAGAAAGAAAGCTTCTCCCCTCCATCTATAGCTTTGCCCTCTATGCCATCAGCAAGGGAAATTTCACATTGGAGTTGCCCCAGGAAAGCTCCATCTTCTTGGGTAGTTCAGAGCACAAGGACCTTTTCATTTAAGCTCAAGCAGCGATGTGCCTCTATGAATTCAAGTCGGTTCACTCACTGGTTCCAGACGCACACAACACACTGACCTCGCCGTTCCAGTCAATATGGATGCTCGCATCCAGTTGCCATACAGGGTGCATCAGTGCTGGCTGAGTAGCCCAGAAACTCAATGGATGTTGCAATAGGTGTAATATATAAGCAGATATTGCAGAGAAGAAAAAATGATAGAAAGACACGTATGGGAAGAGA